GTCAGTTCAGTATTTTTTTACTACAAGTAGTTACTGTAGAATACTGTATTTTCGCTATTTTTGCTGAAGGGATGATTCCGTGAAAATAAAATCCAGCGAATATACATTTGTTTTCACATTAAACTCATCAAAAATCAGTGAAAAATTCCAAACACAACGCCCAAAAAGCCTTTTCAGCAAAAATTAATTCCAGCGAAAATGAAGTATTCCACAGTATTTGACAAACTCATTGCTCTATGCCTCATCAAGCATCCATCCATTTTATATTTTCAATGACTAGGTTTATGATGGGAAGCCATGCACTAATGCTATAAAAACTTGTTGCTTTAAAACCATTTCTTTTTGTGTATCTACACTACAATCGTTAAAGTCCTGATACGTAATAGTAACTGTACCCCCAATTCGGGCTTCAGGGGTTAAAGAATTTGTAACAAAAATTGAAAACTTGAAAAGTATCTATTACTAACTGCACCCCCAATTCAACAAGACTGTGACCGACTATTGTTTCAACCAGTTGGTTCAAAACGGCATCGTTTCTAATCCTATTCATTTGTTTCGACAACGTGCCTAAAAATATTCACACCTATTTATTGTTCAGCGGTGATAAGATGTCAGACACACATTGAAACTGCTTTGGTTCAGCTGGCAACCTCTGTCAATACTCTTTCTGAATGAGTCTGTGTTTCGTAAGTTTTCAATAATGAGCCGTTATCACCGTAAAACTGTTAAATTCTTTTTCAATGCTCAGTTTAACTTTTGAAAACAAATAATTTCTTGATTTAAAAACAAAAATCATGCAATCAATTGTATTTGTCGTACCAGGTTTGTTAATGTGATTTTTTTTGAAGAAAGATGACACTAAAAAATGAAATTATATAGGTGACATTGTAATGAAATTTTAGACGATCCACTTTTTAATTCAGCAAGAAGAAAATTTATCAAATATTAGATTTGCTTCTGCAATAGTTTTATTTCATCTTGGTTGTTCAACTGGTGGATTTTTTCAATGAAATAAGGGCCCACCAGCCGTAAAAAGTTTTTTTTTTGGGGGGGTATATTGTATAACTAAATTGCCAATTAAAGTCGCCATATAATACATAAAAAAATCGTGTTTCATCTAGTTTGATTTAATTATAAAGTTTATAACAAAAAATACACACAATTATAGATACTAGTAAATAAACCTACTGTAAACTTGTAATATGTATACATCTCATATCTGTTATAAATTCTGAAATAATTTCATCAACAAGATGCAGCAAATGTCTACAACTTTTTCCAAGAGAGAGATTTGGTGATAAAGCCAACTACAGTCATTTTGATGTTGATGCAATACAACCCAGATCTGATGCTGACCACATTGCGTTTGCCAACAGAGTTAACAACGCCAACTCAGCAGCAGCGCAAATGGAACTTGAACATCAGTATGGGGCACGATGGATTGAGCTGTTACGTTTACCTTACTATCATCCAGTTAGATTCCATGTTATCGATCCGATGCATAACCTGCTTTTAGGAACTGCAAAGCGAGTGATAGAAACGTGGAAAAAACGGGGTATAATTACTAGCAACAATTTTGAACTTATTCAAAGTCGTGTGGACTCTTTAAAAGTTCCAGGTAGCTTGGGAAGAATACCCCGCAAGATTGCAGCAGGATTTGCGGGATTTACTGCAGAGCAGTGGAAAAATTGGGTGATGTTTTTTTCCCAATTCGCCCTCAAGGGTATCATTGGCGAGGATCACTATAACTGATGGTCACTCTTTGTCAATGCTTGTAATAGCTTTTGTTCAAAAGTAGTCTCATCTCATGATATTGCGAAAGGTCATGACTATATTGTAAAATTTTGCAAATTTTATAGTCAGCTTTATGGTTCTGAGGAATGTACAATGAACATGCATTTGCATATTCATTTGAAAGATTGTGTCCATGACTATGGACCTGTTTATTCATTTTGGTTGTTCTCTTTTGAGAGATACAATGGAATTCTAGGGAATTATTTTACTAATAACCAGTGCGTCTCTGTACAGTTGATGAGAAAATTCATAGAAAATCAACAGATCCACGACCTGCCTTGGCCAAGTGACGTTCAAGATCTCCAACCACTGCTGGTTCCTAGCCAGACCAAGATAGGAACTACATTTGAACCCACTGTTCAAATAACAAATATTCTGAGCCATCACAGTGCTACACTTTCACAAACCATTGATGACATCGACTACCAGTAAAACTCGGATATGGTTCCTGTTGCTCCTGAAAAGAGATACTACTTTGACACTGATGACTGTGACTCCTTGGCAGACATGTACAGTAGTTTGTATCCTTCTCAGAGGATTTTGTCCGTCATATCTATAGCAGAAAGCTATGATAAATTGCCACATATAGGCAGTGTCATTGCCAGAGTTGGTTCAAGGAACAGTCGGTCATCATGCATAATGGCTAAATGGGTTGGAAAAGAGGACCGGCTTGGTGTTTGTGCAATTGACCCATGTAGTGAGTGTCGCCCTGCTATTGTGCAACAGATCTTTAGAAGTGAAATAATTCTTGATGTTGAAGGGAAAGCAAAGAAGTTATCTCATCTGTTAGCCAGAGTTGTCTGGGTGAAGAAGCACCCGATGAGAGATTTCTTTGGGAAAACCACTTCAGTGTGGGGTACTGATATTGAGACTACTCATGGTGCAGAGTTTATTCCTGTGCAAAGAATTCGTAACCTCTGTATTTGTATTCAGGACACTGTAAATTTTCCTTATTGTCGACATGTTGGCGAGAATGTATCGAT